ATGGGATACTAAGCACCCTAACCTGATTCCTTACAAAGAGCTTGTGCTAACTCTGATCCCATACTTTAAGGAGGTCACTTTTGAACACTTCCCAAGATAAGAAAATTAGTTAGTTGATACCTTATCAACAATGTCATCCATGTTCAAAGTCAATTGGGACAACGAGGCTCCTATAATTACAATCGAAAGATTTGACGAATCGACACACTGTTATGAGATTGACACAAATGAGGAGAAGCCTTGGTATCATGAAGTGAGAAGATATCTTAAAGCACAAGAGTATCCTGAAGGAGCTTCCATCAACGATAAAATATTCCTGCGAAGATTCTCATCCAAATTCTTCCTAAGCAATGGGATTCTGTACAAGCGCAACCATGATTCTACTCTACTCCGTTGTATGGACAAGAAGGAGGCAGAGAAGATCATGGAAGATATGCATGATGGCCTCTTTGGAACTCATTCTAGTGGCCATACTTTAGCCAAGAAGATTCTGAGGGCTGGTTACTATTGGTCGACTATGGAAACTGATTTCCACCATCACTCGAGAAATTGTCATAAGTGTCAAATCTATGCCGACAAGGTTTACGTGCCTCCAAATCCTTTAAATTTCATGACTGCTCCGTGGCCATTTTCAATGTGGGGCATTGACATGATTAGAGAGATCAAGCCCACTGCCTCTAATGGACATTGTTTCATCCTCGTTGCCATTGATTATTCACTAAATGGGTCGAAACTGCCTCGTTTGCCTCAGTTACAAAGAACTTTGTAGCCCGACTTATTAAGCATAACCTCATCTACCGTTACGGTATCCCTGAAAGAATCATCACTGACAACAGAATCAATCTCAACAATGTTATGATTATGGAACTCTGTACACAGTTCAAGATCAAGCATCACAATTCTTTCCCATACAGACCTAAGATGAATGGCATAGTGGAAGCTGCCAATAAAAACATAAAGAAGATTATGCAAAAAATGATGGTGACCTACAAAGACTGGCATGAGATGCTACCGTTTGCTCTCCATGGCTACTGTACATCGGCTCGAACTTCAACTGGGGCAACCCCATTTTCCTTAGTCTATGGCATGGAAGTTGTTTTTCCTGTGGAAGTTCAGATTCCTTCCTTAAGGATCATGAAAGAAGAAGATTTAGGCGAAGACGAATGGATTTAAACTAGATTGGACCAGTTGAACTTGATTAATGAGAAAAGACTGGCTGTTGTTTGTCATGGTCAAATGTATCAAAAGCGTATGATCAAGGAATTCAACAAAAAGATTAAACCTCAAGTGTATCAGACTGGAGATTTGGTAATAAAGCGCATCATTCTTCCACAAGGAGATCCCAGGGGAAAATGGACTCCCACTTATGAAGGGACATTTGTTGTTAAGAAAGTATTCTCTAGCGGTGCCATGATGCTAACTATTATGACTGTGAAGAATTCCCTCATCCTGTGAACGCGAACATAGTTAAAAAATACTACGCATAAAGAATGACCCGCTAGGTCGACATACCTAGGCAAAAATAAGGGCATCCCGGTGAACCAAAATGTTCATAAAAAAGTTAGGGATATATACAAAAGGTTGTACACCCGACGTGTCGAAAACCTGAAAGGGCGGCTTGGGCAAAAAAGGGTATCCTGGTGGGCTGAAAACCCAAAAGGGCAGTCCAGGAAAAAGATAAGGAATAAAGTGTATGACTATGTCCTGTGAATCACGACAGCCAAGCTTTATTACCAAGGTCCAAGTTCAACGGTATAAGATCAATTCAATCAACTTCTTTCAATGGCAAGGGATGACGTTCAAAGACATAAGGGAAATGGCGGAGTTGGAATCCAATGAGATTACTTTCACATGGCTATTATTTTGTTTTCACTTTGTATTCCTTTCATTCTTTCGACTATTTCCTCTTACTAAGATTTATGTATCCTTGTACAAAAACACCTGTTTATAGGCAAAACATCAATACAAATATACTTTGAAGTGCAAACTTTTTGTTTTCTTTTCTGTTTTGAGTGCAAAAAGTCCAATGACTAAAATTGAATGAACATATGCATATGGATATGATTAACTGTTAACAAATGTATGTTTAAAATAGTAATAAACATTTTCTTAAGGATTAGGGATATCCCCATTGAGTTACTTCAAAAAAATTATCCCCACAGATTTGAATTCATGGAGTATCAATCCGGAGTTCCAATCTCCTGACAATCATTTCCCTATCTGAGTTGGTCCTGAACTACAAAAGAAACTTTGCGGAGCACTTCCCCAAAAGAAGTCATGTCCCCAATAAGGTCTTCAATATCATTTTCAACAGGGTTTATTTCCCCAACAAACTACGAATTCCCCCACATGAGTCTTTTTCTAAAACTATTACAAATAAACAGACAAAACCCCTTGTTACCAACGAAGTCGATACTATCCCCAGTAAGTTGCTGTGAAGCCTAAAAACTGACCAAATAACAGTTAACCTTATAAATCGCTGCGAAGCCTAGAATACGACCAGATAAATGTTAACTTCAGTAAGCTATTGTGAAGCCTGGAATCCGACCAGATAACAATTAACTTCATTCATCCCATAAATTTGCTGCGAAGCCTGGAATCCGACCAGATAACAGCTAACTTTAGTAAGTTGTTGGAAGCCCGGAATCCGACCAGATAACAATTAACTTCGTTCATCCCAAAAAATTATTGTGAAGCCTGGAATCCGACCAGATAATAGTTAAATATAGTAAGTTGCTGCGATGCCTGGAAACTGACCAGATAACAGTTAACCTCAGAAGTCGCTGCGAAGCCTGGAATCCGACCAGATAACAGTTAACTTCAGTAAGTTGTTGTGAAGCCTGGAATCTGACCAGATAACAATTAACTTCATTCATCCCAGAAATTTGCTGTGAAGCCTGGAATCCGACCAGATGACAGTTAAATTCAGTAAGTTGCTACGAAGCCTGGAATCTGACCAGATAACAGTTAACCTCAGAAGTCGCTACGAAGCCTGGAACCCAACCAGATAACTGTTAACTTTAGTAAGTTATTGTGAAGCCTGGAATCCTCCAGATAATAATTAATTTCATCCACCTCAGAAAGTTGTTGCGAAGCCTGGAATCCGACCAGATAATAGTTAAATTCAGAAAATTGTTGCGAAGCCTGGAATTCGACCAGATAACAGTTAACCTCAGAAAGTTACTGCGAAGCCTGGAATCCGACCAGATAATAGTTAACTTAGTAAGTTGTTGCAAAGCCTGGAATACGATCATATAACAATTAATTTCATTCTCCTCATAAAGTTGTTGCAAAGCCTGGAATTCGACTAGATACCAGTTAAGTTTCATCCTCCCTAGTCAAATTATGATTTCCCAGTAGAGTAATGGACAACCCATGTTCCTAAATTCTATTTCCCAGGAAGAAATCAACATTCCCCACAGATTTCCCTCAAACGGAAAACAGGAATTCCCAGCGGAAACATTATAAACAAAGTTAAAGATACACATACTCTTCATCTCCAGCGATGGTCCGGGATTCAGCTTCCCGATACTCCCCAGCAATTTGTCAAGGATTTATTTTCCAGACAAAGATGCACTTCAATGTTTCACATTCATACATCATAGCACATACATGACAAATGCATACATCATAATCTCATTTATTTTGAGAACATCATTACACCATGTATACATCTGCATGCAACTAACCCTATTCCTTGCAGGAAAAATCAATCAACAAAACAAAGACCTCTTCTGGTTAGATATATTTCTTCCAGATTAAAGACAGGCAGACAGACCTCTTCTGGTTAGATTTATTTCTTCCAGATTAAAGACGAGCGAACGAAGACCTCTTCTGGTTAAATTTATTTCTTCAAAATTAAAGACAGGCAGACGAAGGCCTCTTCTGGTTAGATTCACTTCTTTCAATTAAAAATAGGAAATCAACAGACCTCTTCTGATTTTGATTATTTCCCCAGTGAAGTCGCCAAACTACATATCTCTTCTGGTTTAAATTTACTTCTTCCAGTTAAAAATAGGAAAAAGACGTCCACAGTTTCAGTATAAATCGATCAAAAATTTATTCTGATATTTCTCTCTCAACAGTCACTCATGATTGCATCTGTAAGCCCATCTCTGACAAACTCTTCATCACTTATCCAAATGGCATCTTTAAGCCCATTCCCGACACAATCAACTAACACATAGTCGAGTGCAAATTTCTGGGCACTTTATTGTTCAATCATCTTCCGCCTAAAATTCATAAATGGATGACTCCCAATCTAACTCTTCAGGTTTAAGAAGATTGAATATTGGCATTTACCCTGTCTACCATTGGACCAAGTGAAGTTATGACCTTTAGTGTGTAAAAGAATCAGCTCGTTGAGGTTTTAACAGTTATAAAATTCTTCCATAAGAATTCTTGAATGTATAAAGTGGCCCTTATACTCATGAGCTCCAGAGATAGCATCATAGTCACCAATGAAGCGCCAAGGAATATCTAAATTCAAAGGCTGTAAATTATTCCATAATTCCCTTATGTAAATATAATTAGTGGAGGCATATATAATTGTTATCTCAAATCTAGTTTTGTTTTCCTTTATCACAAAAGAAACTTACTGATCATCAATAACAACTAGCTCTGAATCCAAGTCTTCCTTTAAAATGCACCAAAGGCTATTATTTTTGTAGTTCAAAGAAAACATCTTCATATTAAGATTGGAAACCCAATTAGAGGGGAAATTGGTGTATAACATTCATGGCTCTACTATAAAAACAAAGTCAGACTTTTGTTTTTTAATAATTCTCTTGAGAGCTAATTTGGATGGGGAGTTAGCTAGACCCCTTCTGTTCCAATAGATACACTTTATGGTGAAGTGTTAGGGTTACTAGCAATAGCACTAGTGTGATTCTTAGCTTTATTTTTCCTTATTTTTTCCTTGAAGTTACCAATTGAAATTCCTGATTAGGTATCTCAATTTGCTGAATAATCCTCTGTTCTGCCATTGTTTTCCAAGAGTTTTAACAGAAACTCCACACTTGAGTTTCTTCAACAATTTCATCCACCTGAGTGGCATCCAAAAAATCAGTTTCAGAGCTTTCATCTGTATCAACAACCTCAATATCTAGAGCTTTGGGGACGGTGCTCAACTCTTTTGTCGCCCCACCTATTTCTCTAACCTGATTACACGACTGAGATTTCTCCTTCCAAGTCTCTACTGGTTTTTGTTTTTCCACCTAAACATGAGAGTTATTATGATGATGTTTGTTATCTTCAACCTTTTTTTTCATCGTACCTTATTTCCTTCTGCAATTTTCAACTGAATTCCCTATACAAGAGAAAAAGTGAAGAAATTTGGGACTTTTTCATACACTATATCCACAAAAAACACAAACACAATCCTTTCCACCAGGATTTTGTAACTAAATTCTTTGATTAAGTCTAAATTCACCAGCACCCTCACATAATGACTACAAACACGTTTAAAGGGAGACTTATTTGTAGCGGAATCGATACGAATAGGCGTCCCTATATTGCTGGAAATGGCATAGAAGATTTTAGGTCACCAATACTCTTGAGGCAATCCATGGATCCTAATTCAAAGCTGAGCAGAGGTTTGTTTAAGAGTTGAAGGGACACAGTCTCTAGTCCAAGGAAAAAGTTTCAAATACCTTGAACTAAGATTTCAGGAATTCACAGATCTAACAACTGCACATATTCTAGACACGAAAAGGAAAACTCAAAAAACCCTTTTCACTAAGAAGTTATACCCCATTTTTCTATAGTTTTCCATATATCAGCTAACTTATTTCTCAAAGCTACCACCGTTAGAGGAGAAGAACCTTTAGATCAAACCACTCTTCCATAGAGATTATGTTTGTAGGCTTTCAATATAAGCTTGTATTCTTCTTCAAGTATAGCAATAGCCAAGCGGTCCCCTATGACACAAAGTGTAGGAAACTGGCTTAAGTAAATAGTACATACATCATTAAACACTTTCAAATACGATTTCACAATGGGAGACGAGGTTGGATTTTGTATTATGTTGGAAGAAAAGGGCGGAGGAGCAAGATGCCATAATTTCAAGAAAAAGAAAAACCTCCATTGAAAAAGAAAGAGAGAAAATGGATTAGGTCACATTGTTTTGGCCATCACAAAAGGAACCCTAACTTTTTAAGACATTTAATATATATATATATATATATATATATATATATATATATATATATATATATATATATATATATATATATATATATATATATATATATATATATATATATATATATATATATATATATATATATATATATATATATATATATATATATGAATAATTGACATCATGTTTAAAAATTGATTAAACAATTTTATTTAAAAATAACTTCATTCGTGTTTGCTTAATATGACAAAAATTACTTTATATGTCTAAAAAAACCTACAACAAAGCAAAGTATAAAACAATAATACATAAAGAAGGCTTATAAACCAATGCCACCTTGAATCGATGAAATAATTAAAAAAACCAATAAAAGTCAAATATAAAAGACAGAATCTGAAAGAAAGAAAAAAGTAATCCAAAAATAAAAGGAGATTAATAATCCAAAAATTGCCCAATTTTAACAATATCATGTGGACTTAGAAAATGAGAGAAGTTTTAGAGAAATAATTATGTGTATGTGATCGTTTAGATGTATTAAATATTAGTTATTAGATAAAAAAAAATAATAGGATCTCAATAACCCACATATAACATTTATTAAAATACATTATGTATTACATTTTAGTAATCAATTCCATGTATAACAAGTAGCACGATCATTCGATATAACCCGACATGGTCCTGATTTTCTGATGTACCATGTACATTGTTGACATACACCAGAATCCCTCGTTGAAATGTAAATATCAAACCATTGAAACTGATCCTTCCACTCAAAGGAACAGAAAAATAGCGTGCTTCCAAAGATATTTTCATTAAATTGAAAATTATAACTGTCACTATACTGAAGAAGATTAGATCCAACATCGTCATCTTTAGATTTGCAATGAACAGTTAAATTTGATTTGTCTTGCAAAAGGTTAGCAATCTTCACATGTATCTTTCCTTCAACATTGTTGATAGATATTAACGTCAACAAACACAACAACAAGAGAAGTTTTTTGATTAAGGGCGACATTGCACTCAACTAATTTTTTTTAAGGTGAAACACTTTTTTATATTATGCATGAAATATATGTTTAACAGAGAAGCATATATTTATAGGAGGTTTTACAATAGAATTTTAATATTTTTTATTAATTATTATTTTTTATAAACTAAGAAAATTAATATTCTAGAACGAATTTAAACAAATTCAAACTAGAAATCAAATGTTAATATAAAAAATATATCATATTAAAATGAATAAATTATATGAAAATCTGATAATATAATAACAAACATTGAATTTATATTTAATGATTGAAATTAATAAATATTATTAAAAATTGATTAAAAATCTGATAATATATATATATATATATATATATATATATATATATATATATATATATATATATATATATATATATATATATATATATATATATATATATATATATATATATATATATATATATATATATATATTAAAGTACCCGTGCATCACAAAATCATAAATTTATAATTTGTTGTCATTATTTTGAGTTATGGTATTTTATTTTAGAATATGAGTGTTCGAGTTTTTACTTAACTGTTTTGAGTTAATATAAAAATAAATAAATCATCAAGGAATTGATATAAAAATATTTGATGTGTTTATTAAAATAATTTTATTTATAAACCATTCAATTGTAGTAAATTTTCAATTTAATAGAAATTTGTAATTATATATATATATATATATATATATATATATATATATATATATATATATATATATATATATATATATATATATATATATATATATATATATATATATATATATATATATATATATATATATATATATATATATATATATATATATATATATATATATATATATATATATATATATATATATATATATATAAATTAGTTAAAGTACCGGTGCATCACAAAATCATAAATTTATAATTTATTGTCATTATTTTGAGTTATGGTATTTTCTTTTAGAATATGAGTGTTCGAGTTTTTACTTAACTGTTTTGAGTTAATATAAAATTAAATAAATCATCAAGAAATTGATATAAAAATATTTATAAAAATATTTGATGTGTTTATTAAAATAATTTTATTTATAAACCATTCAATTGTAGTAAATTTTCAATTTAATAGAAATTTTTAATTATAATTTAAATTTATATATATATATATATATATATATATATATATATATATATATATATATATACTAGTCAGAGTACCCGTGCAATGTACCGGAAACATCATAAATTTATAATTTATTGTCATTATTTTGAATTCTGGTATTTACTTTTAGAATATGAGTGTTCGAGTTTTTCGTTAACTATTTTAAATTAATATAAAAATAAATAAATCAGTAAGGGATTGATATAAAAGTATTTAAAAAAATATTTGATGTATTTAATAAAATAATTTTATTTATAGACCATTCAATTGTAATAAATTTTCAATTTAATAATAATTTTTAATTATAATTTAAATTAAAATTTTAATTTTAATTTACAATTTTTGTGTGTGTGTCAAAGTAGTAATAACAAATAGGAAAAAAGTTATTAATAAAAGTTATTAGAATATGACATATTTAAAAATAGAGTACCAATGATAAATAATAAATGTTATTATTTTGAGAGATTAAAAATAAACATAAATTTGTTTTAAAAAATGATAAATCGAATAATTGAGTTAAAAGCAAAAAAAAAAAGAAGAAAAAACCATGTAAAAGAAACCATAATAAGAAGATGAAAAAAACGAAAACTTATAGTAGAGCACTGTTTCAGTAGCCAATGAAAACTCAAATCATTCTTTAATGTGTGATATGATGAAAAACTGCAAAAACTTAATTTGAAAACATTTGATTAGATTCGTGATGGGAGAAGTCAATCAAATAACACTATTTAATCAAATCTTCATACTTTTTTTCTTTCCATTTTGAAATAGTATCAACATTAAAGGTTGATTATAAATGATATTGTGCAAAAATGGAGATATAAATTTTATAAAATATATTATACGAATAATAGAGATGATAAGAACGACAAATAAAAATGTAGAAATATATTTAATAACTTTCTTATCGTTTATTCGATTGAACTCATCTTTGGATATGAGGTCTTTTTCGACATTGGTTACATTTTTGTTTCACATTTCAACTTCAGAAATTGTACCAAAGTTTCTGTGAATTTTCCCGACACGTGTCGCACTCAAGTGATTCAAAAATATACACTTTGACTTGTGGTTATTTGAGGTTCATTAACCAAATTCACTCACATAATGTCATACTATATATTCTTATTCAGTCTAATTTCTAAAAGGAGGCTCTCATAATTCAGAAATTCTCACAAACACTCTAAACTTTTCTTCCAATTTTCTCAAAGATCAAATCAAGGTTCTACAGCTTTTTCATCAAGAAAACAACAACAATTGCATCAAGATCCAAAAATCAAGATCAAGAGCAATTTTTCTCTGATTGTTGATCCGTTCGTTGTGATCTCTATACCTAAGCCTTCTCTTCACTTCTATCAGTGAGTTTTCTTGAATTAAGCACTTTTGAAATAAGTGATTATTTGAGAAGCACTTTTTTGATCAAGCATGAATTGAATCTAGGTTTAATTTTGAATTGAGAATATATATCTAAGCCTAGAATTGTGAATTGATTTGACAATCATGTGTAAATCTGGAATTGGATAGATGAATTAAGTGATTTTTGATTTAAGTTGATTTATATGAAAGTGCTTAATTGTTGAAGCAAATTGATGATGTTGCATGAAGTTTAAATGTTGATCTTAATCAATCATGTGTAATTTGAATCTTGACCTTGAATTATGCAAAATCATGTGTTGAATGTGTGAAGATCTTGTGTTTGATCAATTGCCTAAGCCATGAGCCAAATCTCAAAAATTTGTTAAAATTGTTTTCTGTCTGGGTAACAGGTTACTCAAATATGGTAACCGGTTACCATCCATTGCTTCATAAATTTTTTCAAAACTGTTATGTGGTAACCGATTACCCCAAGTCAGAAGCAAAATGGCCAAGACTTTCACAGTTTTGGTAATCGGTTACCCAGTTATGGTAACCAGTTACCCCAAATCAGTAGCCAATTTCCAAAATTCTCAACTTTTGGTAACCGGTTACCCGGTTATGGTAACCAGTTACCCAGACAAAAATATTGATTTTTTCTTTGTTTCATTGCATGTTTGCATACTTTGCCTTGTTAATTCTAACTCCTTTTGTGAATGCTTTGCAAGGTACATTGTAAGGTCTTAAACCTTTAATTAACACATGATTATTGGTTGAACAACATATTATGCGATCACTTGTTAGCGAAAGTGTGCGTATGATGTGCAAATGATATTATTCTCGCATAAATTCTGTTTTCGTGCAGGTACTCTGGTATCACACGGATGTGTTCGCTACACATTCTATTATGTGATTGTTATCTTTGTATCTTGTATGGATTGTGATTAGTGCATGTATATTTTGATATTTGGATGTGTCCGCTACACATTCCTATTTTTGACCGTTATACTTTGACTCATATGCTGATGGTATTTTCTTTATTGATGCTAGCAGTTCGTGAAGTTTTCTGAGTTTCCTTGTTATTGCTTGAAATTATGGTATCAGATATGTGATGTCGAAGGAGATGTCACAACACAAATATCTGAGGAACAAAGTAAAGGCAACAATAATAAAAGAACTAAAAACAGAAGGGATTGTTAACCCAGATCAGTGTACAACAACACCTACTCTAGGGGCTACCAAGGCAGGGACAAGCCCACTAAATTGTATCAATTCACAGACCCTCAGTAAACAACCAATTTACGATCTAATCACTTAATCACTACCCGTGCTATACTTCTACCTAATATACTACTAGGTATCAGGCCCTCCTCAAATCCCTTCAATCACTTACAGTGAAGAAACAATTGAAATAATAAGTTTTAAAGACTTCAATCATTCAATGCTTAAAAGCTTATGAATGATACACAATTAACAACCTAAATAACAACCCAAGTATTAAACCAATACTAGAGTGTTTTAGAAATAAAAACCCTTAGATTTCTAAAACAGAAGGAAATTATTCTTATTCAAAAGTTGCAGTTGAATGAATAAGGAAGCAAGTCCTTATAAAGGCACAACAGTGGGCTTGGGCTGAAAAACAAATATTCTAATCTTTTGAATATTTCTATGAAAACAGGCCAAGATATAATCCATAAGGATAATTCAAATAGAAAAATATTCCTCCATATTTTTCGCAGCCTATGAGTCATAAATCTTGAATTATGGCACACATGAAAATAGGAAACAAAAAACTTAAACTAATGTGAGTTGCGTTCAACTCAGGAGGCAGATGTCAAGACATCTGTTTTGACATCATTCAAAACAGTTTTCTCCAAATGTCAAGACATTTAGCAAAACATTATCAAAGTATTGTTTTACCAAAACTGCTGCAAACAAACACTTACAAACTCCCCATTTGGCAAATTTTGGCTAAAACATTATTTGAGCACATTATCAGAGCATTATCAGAGCAGTAGTATGAGCAAAACAAGAAAGAGTCAGGTAGCAGTTAGCTGTTAGTAGAGGAAGATGTCAAAACATCTTCTGAGACACGAGGCTCCCCCTCAAGTATTAACCTCCCCCTCAATCAGTGGTCAATCAGTGGTCAGTCAGTCAGTTTCTCTCCCCCTTTTTAGTCATAATATGACAAATAGAAGGATGCATTCAAGAGTGTATCAGTAATATAGGTATAAATCATAGAATTTAAAGGTCAAGCACATACAAGTGCCAAAAAGAAATAAATGGGTCAAATAAATAAACATCAACTAGTTTAACTGTCTTTAGGACCATTAGACTTTGTTGAGCCAGAACTTCCTTCCTCACTAGAATCTCCTCCTTCAGAGCTCATTTTATCATCAAAGATGTTGTCCTTATGTAGCTCTTTGATCATATTTTCAAAAGTTAGCTTTCTTGTTGAGCTAACTCTGATCACATCATCTAGTTATTTGTAGG